CGCCTCGAACTCGTCAATCTCAATATTGCGGAGCAGTAATACGGATACTCTATAATCTGTAGCGTGTGATATGACAATATGGATTTGAAGATGTGGATGTGAGTGAGAATGCGCATGTCCAGTTAGATGGATCAGCGCCAGAGCCGGGTACTCCTTGTGAGAGTTCGAGTCGGCAAGGTCGGGTGGACGGGTTGGAAGGCGAAAAGAAGGAGCTTCAAAACGTTCCTTCAAGTGTTCCATCAGAGGCAGAAGTTTGTTACAAGACGTGCGTCAAGTGGCGCCTGAACTCTCATTCTGGGGCGAGCGAGCGGGCGGGCGGGCGGCGAAGGGGACGGACGTTTCTCTTGCATGTGTGAGTGTGTGTATCCCGTACTCCGTACTGCGTATTAGTGTGTGAGTGAGTGTGTGTGGATTGTGGAATACTTTAGCCACAGCGCGTCAGAAAGGCGAGACGAGACTGGTGATGGAGACGGTTAGATGGAGATTGACAGGAAACAAAGGAGGCGTGACCCGAATCATCGTCACAAAGGAAAGGGAAACAACGCCTGCGTAGGTACCTCAGGTCGCGTCTTGAGAGCGACCTACTCCCGTGGTTCAGTATCCGTAGTCTGTAGCAAAGACCTTTGGTGGTGGTGGGGGGGCAGGAGAGTTGGCTCCAGGTTGGCAGTGGCTAACTGGATTCCTAGAGGCTGCCGCGATTGACAGATATCGTGACCCGGCCCCTGGCAAGTTTCGCAAAGCCTCCCAGTTCGATGGACGGGCCGGGGCTAAGCCGTTTTGAGAGTATGTGTCCACTTTTACAGTCGAAGGCCCTTCCACCCCTTGACTGTGTCTCCTTCCCTTTCAGTTTCCTATTGCCTGTTCAGTGAGGTGACGTTGAAATGAGAGAGCCTTCCGTTTCTTCAGGAAAGCACGCGTCCATCGAGGAGAACGGCAAGAAGTTGCTCGTGAGGGAAGGAAAGGTGGCCCGCTGTATCCGTATCCGTACCTGACGGTGTAATAGGCCGGACTGACCTGATTTTCTGATGATTTACTCCTGAACAGTCCCAAGGAGGGAAAGATGGCCGATGCGATGATCCAAATTGCAAAGTGAGAAAATGGACGGTCGGCCGGTGCGATTATTGAATATTGGACATTGACGGGGCCCTCAGGGATTAACCAAGGCTCCCCTGGGATGCCGCGAGAGCTCCCTGTGCGCGCTACTTTTTAGCTCTGGCTCATCACGAACCGTCAGTGGTGACATTCGAGGTACATACCTACCTTGATTTCCCTTCCGAGCTTACCTTACCTCACTGTTCAAGCCATGAAAGAGATGGATGGAGCTTTTGACAAAGCGAGCGGATGTTAGAGTTGATGAGTGACTTCTGCATTGCCCCGTTGTGACCGTGATATGAAATGGCGGCTAGAACTCCTGGTTAACATCGTGAAATGGACCAGTAGAGTTTTCGTATACATCAGATCGGTGCATACGCGCCTCCATGTTGGAGATATCGTCATCGTCATACCTACCTTAACGACTGATCGGATGAGAGGAGTCGTGTCGAGTCGACATGATAGTGAGCAGGTCCCAGCGGCACCCAATCTCATCAAGTAGGTAACACGATGCGCCATGGATTTGACGTTTGTTTAGCGCTTGACACATTTGCGCTCTTGTTCAGGCATCACCATTCGTCTGGGTTGGCTTCTTGGGATAGCATCCCTAGTCAAGGTCATCGCGTTTCCAGAGTGAAGTTCTGGTTCCAAAGTAGCGGCGCCATCGCTTAGCTACCTATGTGTCCGTAAAGGTTGAACAGTTTTCTTGTTTCCCTATCAACGTCTCATTCCCGTGACGATCCCAGGCAGAGTCCAGGTCGAGTTCGGTTCATTCCTCGAGGTACGACATTGGCATCGTCATGAGCCGCTCTTAGTGGTTGGTGTTTGTTGCACGTACCTCTGAGTACCTCATCTGCCAGTGGCCCGTCAAAAAAACCCCGCCGACAGCAAAGCGCCAATCGCAGCACCAACCACCGACGACGGAGGTGAGAGGTCAACACGGACCACCCACACCGCCGCCAACCACAAGTATCGGTAGGTATTGGATCCATCCATCCAGACAGATCCAGATCCAGACCCAGTCCGGGACCCAACACCAGCCTCTCTTTCCTTGAGAGTAAGAACTTGCTCTTGCCTCCCGTTTCCTTAACTCGCTTTCCGCCTCCAAGGAAGGAAGCAAGCAAGCGTGGGAAGGCACCTCCTACATCATCGCCGACCATCTACCTTAGTGTCTGTCGGCAGACAATCCCCGCATGGTTTCAAAGGTTAACACCTACAATGGAAGGACAAGATACTCCATCTCGCTCGCATCTTCATCTTCGTCCTCAGACGGGACCCGACCAATATTGACCACCAGAAATTCAGAACCCACATCTTACCTACCGTCCACCGTCCAACGTCCACCCCCCGAAGAATTCCGCCGCTGACTGGCCTGCGCCGTGCCCGCCTGCCGGATCTTGACCACCCAATCCAGCCTGTCCTCCTTTCCAAGTCCCAAATCCATCCCGCGCCTTCAAACACCTTCAAACGCAGTGCAGCGTCCACTGGTACCTTGCACGGTGCCTTACCTAAGGTACTTCGTGCAAACCTCAAGTTCTCTCCCTTGGGCCTGTGAACCGCCAGTGACCTCCCACACGCGCCCGGCTGGTCTCATCCTTCTCGCCTCACCTTGCACACCATCAGATCCATCCAGTCAATCAAATCAATCATCTGCTATGCCAAACTTACCTTGATCTACTACCGTCCAGTAATGAGTCCGTCAGTCTTCGTCTGATCGCGACGCATTGCTTCCATTCTCCATTGGCAACTCTACCTAGGACCCCCAACTCAGATATTGCGAACCTGTAACTCTTTGCCCTCTTTGCCGCCGCTTTCCCATTGGATTGGGATCACTGGTCAATAGGTCGTTACAAGGTAAAGCACGTTGACGCCGAAACTGTTGCAGCCAGGAGCTCCTTGCTGCCCGCGACGCACTGCACTGCAGCGCATCGCATCGCATCGCAGACCGCACACCGGTACGTGCCACCCATATGCCCCCCTCGGCTTCCCCTCCTTCCCAAACCCGCGCCTGGTTATCTGTGTAAGTACCTCTCTACCGCTCTCTACCTACGTCGGGGGAGCAAGGTACCTTACCTTACATTACCTAACCAAAGGTACCTTGGTTTTCAGCGCTTCTTGCCTCATCCTCACCTCACTCGCCTCGTATCTTGCCAAACCTTTGCCTTCCGTTGCCTTGACTTCTATTGCTTGTTCGTCACTTTGTGTTTGTACCTTACCTACCTAGCCGTTGTGTGCTTTCTCTGTACCTATCCATCATCCATCGTTGGCAATACCCGCCATCTTCTCCCAATCCACTATAACCAATCTCTTGAAATCTCCAGTCAATCGTGCTTTGCCTCGATATCGCTCACTGCCACGGCCGGCTGCTTCCACTGCCACCGCCCTCTTGTCTTCTTTGTTGTTCAAACTCAACTCACACAACGTGACAACCCAACATCCCATCCCGTCTTCAGGTTCTCTTCAACACTCTTTGTAGCTTGCTGCGGCCGGGACACACTCCCACCTCTGACAGCAAAAGTAAAGTAGCCGCCAACCTCGAAACATTGAATCCCTATCCCATCAGCAGTGACTTCCTTGCTGCTCTAATCTGGATCCGTCCAGTACCAATACTGCGTACAGCACACTGCCTTGGTGACTGTCTCTCATTGCATCTTACCTTATCCTGGTGAGTGTTTTGTCCTGCCTGGTCTGGGCTGTCCTCGGGCTCGCTCCTCTTCTCTCATCCTTCTCCTCCCATCCGTACGGATGGATACTCGTCTCCTCAGACTCCTCTCCCGTTGTCCAACGCTTTCCCTTTCCCACCACCTTCAACACACCCCCGTCGGCTTCTCCCCCCTTGCCCTGTCCCAAGACCAGACAGACCCCGTACCAAAAGGTACCTACCTAACTACCTACGTCGGACCAAGTTACTGAGGTAGCCATTCCCATTCCACCTCAGCACTGCTCTCGGGCTCTCCTCACCTTGCCTTGCCCTTACCTCACCACCTCACCTCATACCTTTCCTTCCATTCCCTGGACCTTACGACGACCCTACCGCACTGCTACTCTAAACCGCCTGCCCAGCGCCAGTGTGCCCAGTGCCCACCCCGACCCCCTCCACTTCCCTTCCCTCAGGTTTCCCAATTGCCCCCATCCCCACTTTCTTTGCCTGAGAAGAAGGTTAGATATACAGGGTACCGTTATCACCCTTCCAGCTTCACCTCCTGCGGCACTAATCCCTTCCGCTGTGTCAAAACATTTCTGACCTCGACTTTTTATGCAGCCATCGGAACCCACCAGAGCTCAGACTCCCCATCTCCAGTCGTCTCCAGTCGTCTTTTGCTGCTGCCGCGCAGTGTGCCTGCTTCGCTTTCTTCTGCCACCTTACGCCAACTCTGCTCACTTCCATCTGTACGGATACCCACGTCCCAAACTCTCACCTCACACTCTCATACCCTTTGACTCTTTCTCTCGCCTACCTTACCTCGCTCTGTATCCGACCCTAACCTTGCCGTCAAACAGAGACTCGTCGTCTAGACCCTCCTGCTCTCGCCTCGTTCCTTCCGCTCCTGCTACCTGGAACCTGAATCTCCTTTGCCGCTTTGTCCGTTCGACACGACGCGACACGACACGACGCTTGTCGCCAGCCCAGGCCGCCCACATCGTACCATACTATACCAAAGCTCTCTATACCACACCCATAATTGCGATTCCTCAGGACCAAACACACATCTGAGCAACCACCGCCTAATCCAAACGCTCGCCAATTCTCCTTGTCCCTCCAACCTGGTGTCACACTTGACTTTGCAGAATCCCATTTCGGATCGATTTCCAATTCGCCGCCGCTTCTCCTAACCCAACCTGCGAACTCTATTCGCATCAACGACTGTCGTGGAATCCAACTACACATCGTTCAGAATATCACAGAAATGGCTCAGCCAGGAGTCCAGTCGTTGAAGGTGCGTCGCGCTTGGCGACACCCATCATCCTGATATCGATAGTTGGGAAGGAGCGAATCGCTAATGGTGTTGTGATCTTGCAGTGCGTGGTGACAGGTGACGGTGCTGTCGGAAAAGTAAGCTGCTCCCATCATCATACCCCTCGGCATCTCGCGACTAATCCATCTTGTAGACATGCCTGCTTATTTCCTACACAACGAACGCCTTCCCCGGCGAGTACATTCCTACCGTGTAAGCATTCTGCATGTCGATTGATGATGGAGTTCCAATCTGACCTCGAGCTTCTAGCTTCGACAACTACTCGGCGAGTGTGATGGTTGATGGAAAGCCGATCAGCCTGGGACTTTGGGATACTGCTGGTCAGGAAGATTACGACAGACTGCGGCCGCTTTCATACCCCCAGACCGACGTCTTCCTCATTTGCTTCTCCATTGTCAGCCCGCCGTCATTTGACAACGTCAAGGCCAAGGTACGGCATCCTGCACCACGACGACCACCACCACCACATGGAGATCAGCACTAATTTGATGCAGTGGTACCCCGAGATCGACCACCATGCGCCAAACATTCCCATCATCCTCGTCGGCACCAAGTTGGATTTGAGAGAGGACCCCAACACCCTCGAGTCCCTCCGCCAAAAGCGCATGGAGCCCGTTTCCTACGATCAGGCCTTGGTTTGCGCCAAGGAGATCAAGGCACACAAGTACCTAGAGTGCTCTGCCCTGACACAGAGAAATCTGAAGAGCGTTTTCGATGAGGCTATTCGGTGAGGATTCTTCAGTGCCAATGTGTCAGAGTAAATAGCTAACCTGGAATTAGTGCCGTCTTGAACCCTCGCCCGGTCGCTACGCAGAAGAAGAAGTCCAAGTGCACGATTTTGTAAACGCCTTTTACTTGACCTCAAGCGTTGCGGGTTAACATTTGGATTGGCGTTCGGCAGTGTATAACACGCCTAGTTCTCTGCTGCCTTTTCGTCAGGGCTCAACCATGTTGCACAACCCGGTGCCTCACGCTTATCCAACGAGAAGAGACACTTATTTTCAGAGGCACAACCCCATTCGAGAGCCCCCCGCTGAGCACAGCCTGCGAAGATCGCAACAAACCCCCAAATATCAGATTTTGCCCACCTGCCACACCGAATTTGTGAATGACACTCGTGGTGTCTCTGGAATCGGCCATGGCAGTTGAGCAGGATCAGTGCTTTCGTTATTGCTCTTTTGTCCCGTTTCCGGGAGCAAAAGGCGAAGAAGAGAATGACAGACACAATGGGGCATCGTTGGTAGCAGGCATGCTTTGCAACACAACAACACAAGGATATCCCACGTTTTCTGTAGATAGCACTCACTCTCACAAAGACACTACTTTTTTCATGGAGGAATTTAGACACTGGGTCAGGAAGGGATGAGCTTCGTCTTGAGAATTGACTGCCATTGCAAATGCACTTGGGTATTGGATGCGTGAGAATCTTGATGTTGCTTGCAATGCTTTGATGGCTCTATTGATCTCCCTTTTTTCTATACCACAACTCCTGGTTCCTTGATCCAGAGGTGTATATATATCCAGATCCAGCTTTTTGTTCATCAGTCCAACAACGACTAAATTACACCTTTCCAACATACATGCCCGTTCGTCCATCCTTCCGTCTACTGATACATCATGGCCAAGCGACTGGGGTGGATGCTATCCTGCTGGGAGTTGGCCCCACCCTGCTTGGCCCTCTCCTTCTTGTACTCCTCCTCCTTTTGCATGCGCCTGTGGCGGTTCTCGTCGAGCTGGACGTTGCGCTCCTTGATCTTGTCCTTGCGGAACTTGCTCTTGCCTCCGCCGCCGGCGCTGTTGTTTGTTAGCTGAAGTTTACATCAGGGGAGGCAGGGGTTGGTCTAGGAGAGGTAGAAGGAGGTTTGGGATCAGGGTAGGATGGTGAGGGCTAGGGTTGAAGGAATACGGGACGCAAACGTACGAAAGCTCGAGGTTGATCTGGCGCGCGGGCGAGAGGCCGTCGTCGAACGAGGTGTGGTGCATCTTGTCGAGGCAGGTGCGCATGTTGGAGCCGTTGGAGAACTCGAGAAAGGCGATGCCGCGGCAGACGTTGGGGTTGCCGTCCTTGTGGAGGCAGCGGATGGCCGAGGGCTTGTAGGCTGCAAAGTGGGCGTTGATGGAGTCCTTGTTTGCCGTGTAGGGGAGGTTTCCTGGGGGGTTGAGGGAATGATTAGCTGGGCGTCCATATTTGGTGGGTTTGAGGGTGGTGATGGTGATGGGAGGGATGTAGGCTGGACTCACCGACGAAAACAATGTACTTTTCCCTCTTTCCTCCCTCGGCGGTCTCTTCTTCTTGAGCTGCTGGCTCAGCCGCTGCTTCTTCGACAGGGGCCGCTGCCGCCGGCGCAGCCTCGTCCTTTGCCTTCTTCGCCTTCTTTGACTTTTTCTCCTTCTTCTCCGTCTTCTCCGTCTTTTCCTCGGCGACAGCAGTCTCTACACCATTGGCCTCAGTCTCGGTCTCTGCAGCGGCCTCCTTCTTCTTCTTATCCTTCTTCTCTTTCTTGTCCTTCTTCTCCTTCTTATCCTTCTTCTCCGTCTTGACATCCAAATCTCCCTTCTTGCTCTTCTTGACCTTCTTCTCTTGCGCGGGCGGGTCGACGTCCATTGCGTCGGCGTCTGCTGATGCGTCCTCTACGGCGGCCTCGGCGGCTTTACGCGCTTCCTTTTCCTTGCGCTTGCGTTCCTTCTTTTCGGCCTTTGATTCCTCGAGGGCGATGAATTCTCCGCCTTCGGGTGCGGATTCGGCGGCGGCCTTCTTTTCCTTCTTTTCCTTCTTCTCCTTCTTTTCGGATTTGGACTTCTTCGTCGAGGACCCGTCTGCGACGGCGGCGGCGTCGGCCGTGGGCTCGGCGCGCTTGCGCTTCTTGGAGAGTTCTGCGGAGGCCATTGTTGCTGATGCCGGGGCCTTGGACTCGAGGAAGATTCGAGATCGTTGGTGTGAAGTGTCGAATTGAACGAGAACAACAAAGTTTGGGATTATAATTGGAAAGGGTCCCGTAGCGGTCACCGTACTGTGGAGCAAGAAACGACGCGGTCAAGAAGGGGGGACTCGGTTCGAAATATTTCCCCTTTGAAAATTGTTGCCCAGAGACTACCTACGAACTTTGGGGGACCAAAAAAAAAAGTTTCGGTGTGGGGGCGCGCGAGCGATAAGGAAGGATAAGGAGCGGCGGGCAGCGATTACCTACCTTAGAAAACTTTTATGGGACTGAGTGACCGTGCTTGGCTGGCGCGCTCACTCGTACACCGTTATACATGCGGCCAGCCTGTGGGGTACGATTCTATCGGAGGCGGGATCTCGGGCAGGGAGAGGGGAGTATGGGACGGACATTTGGATTTCGGCATTGGAGTGATTCGTTCTCTTCTGGCTCGGTTTGTATGGTTTCTGTGCTGATGAGATTTGGCTTGACTTGCTGGTGCTTGGGAAAGCGAAGTGACTCGTCTCTGGAAGGTAGGCTGCTGGCTTCACGATGTTCATGTAAGCCACAGAGGTTATGTGAACGAGATGCTCTTGATTTCAACGGCATCTGACTGACTTGGCTTTTCAGTGAGACCCATGAGCCACTTGAAGAGAAAGAGATGTTTTCCTCCTCATTTGACAGATGATTAGGGATTGCGGGTATCTGCGTGCAAAACCACTACTGTTGTGGATGGTACGATCATCATCATCTGCCTTTCTTCCTTTGCGACTGTATGGGGTGTGTTGAAGAGTGGTCTTCGGGTACTACTTGGCGCCCAGCAAAAGCGAACACAGTCTAAGTACAAGTTGCTCGGCAGTATTGTACGTCATCTGTTAGGATATGTAAGAAAAGCCACACATGTGTCGAATGGGTTGCCTACCTTACCAAGTAACGATTGCAGATTATGAAGGCTATCCTCTCTTCTAGGGTACTTGACGGAGGTCAATGGAGAGCACAACAGCTGCGGAACCACAAAGGCCCCCCTTCCTGCGACCACTCGGCTGCTAATGCCCAGTCTCATAGTAAAAGGGAAACTAATATGAACTCCCGTTCGCCTTTGCAAGCTTGTTCAATAAGTATCAGGTAGTGTACACACAGATAATGAAAAGGTTCTTTCTTCACAAAGTCCGTCACTCCCCTCGGTCAGTCCGTCGACAACTGCCTGTCTGGAGGTGCGCTTTAGCAGACGGAAACATGCGCACTGTGAGTGCTCCAGTGCGGGCCCAACCACCTAACGGATCTCTCCCCAGGTGTCACCCAAGGGGCCTACCTCTCGTACGTACAGTGCGAGACTGAAATTTTCCTTCTCAACATCGAAATTTTTCATACGCTGCCCAGTTCTCATATCAACTACACCAAAATCCTCACCGAAACTTGTAAACCACCAAAAAGTCTTCACCTGAAATACGTCCAACCCCCCCGGAAACTCACTTCATTCAGGCATCAACCAGTATATCGAGACTTCCCAGAACGCAAACCCCACACGCCGACACACAGCAATGTCCAACACGAAAAAGAGAGCGGCGCCCAGCCAAGAAGGCGGCGAGGGCGGCCAAAAGGCAAAGAAGCAGAAGAAGAAGTCGGCCTACCAGGTCGACGAGACGCTACTCAACGCCGAGCTGGGCATCAACGAGTCCTTTGCCGTCATGGACAACCAGCTCCTCGCAGACTACACGGCGCAAAAGATTTCCCGCTTCGGTACGGATCTGAGTCCGGTTGAGCTTTCGGATCTGTCCATCTCTGGTGAGTTTTTGGCACCTCGTCGTTTTTTTTTATTCCTACTTTCCCAATTACCTCGTTTTTTCATACGTATGATTCTATTCCCATAAAGAGAAGAGGATACTTTGGAGAGCAAATGAATAAAAATCGTACTGACACAAACAAGCAAACGCCATCAAGGACACGACATCCTGGACGCGGCCCCGCGCCCTGGACAACCTCCCCGCCTTCCTCGAGAACTTTGCAGAGAGGCCCGACAGGCTCTTCACGGCGCCCAAGGTCAAGGGCGCGCCGCACACCATCATCGTCGCTGCTGCGGGCTTGAGGGCGGCGGACGTCGTGAGGGCCGTGAGGAAGTTCCAGGGGAAGGAGAGTACCGTTTCCAAGCTGGTGAGTTTTCAATCATCTCCTCTTCTTCTCCTAGTCAATATTTCACGCTCTGAATATTCTGTTTACCTTGAATCCCCTCACTCTTTTGAGATCCGAGTATTGAGGGGGGGACGTTTGTGCATACTGGTATCCGGTTTGAGGGGCGAAGATGGAAAGAAGGCTAACGTGGGTACATTCATAGTTTGCAAAGCATATGAAGGTAGACGAGCAAGTCCAGTTTCTGCAAAGGACAAGAACGGGCATCGCGGTCGGAACGCCCGCCAGACTCATGGAGTTGGTAGACAATGGTGAGTACCGTAAACTAACCCCCCCCCCCCCCCCTTTTACGCACATCACTGCGGTTATGGACCTCCAAATAGCCACAACACGAGAGACACAGAGAATATGCACAGAATATACATGGCCCAGAAGACACAGCAAACTAACTTTGCAAACCCAGGAGCCCTGAAACTAGACAAACTCCAGCGCCTCGTGGTCGACGCCTCGCACATTGATCAAAAGAAGCGCGGCATCATGGACATGAAGGACACGATGCTCCCGCTCGCGCGGTGGTTGTCGAGGAAGGAGTTTAAGGAGCGGTACGGGGACGAGCAGAAGCCTTTGGATTTGATTTTTTATTAGGGAGCGACGAAGAAAGGGTGGTGACGATGGCTGCGGGATCGCCATCGTGTATAGGTGAGAGCTGGGAGACGTTCTGAAGTAAAAAGCATGGCGAGGTAGTAGAGGAGAGGTGCGAAGTTCTCGGAAGAAGGGACGTAGAGAGACGGTTGTGATGGATGCCGTCTCGGTACAGTACTGCCGGGGTGACGATGGCGGGGAAAGAGCATCTGATGAAGGGCATAGAAAAGGCTTGCTGGGAGCTTGCTGGCCCCATATCATAGAATAGGCGCGTTAAGACGAGGGTCAAGGAGACAAATCGGAATCTACGGCGACAGCCGGTACTTATTCAGATGCCACGCCCCGTCTTCGTCCAGTCTCACATGTCTTGGGATGATTTGGAAGGGAACGAGGGAAGCGTTTGTTACTCAGCTTCACCTGGGACTGAGTACGCCGGCAGATCACGGTCACGGTCTCTGGTCAAGAGGAAGGCATAGAGAGCATTTGACACCGAGTGATTCGCATCCGGCACTCAATACTTGAAGCTGGGTCTGCCCTGAGTCCGGCACATCCGGTACAGCGCCTGTTGGAAAGACTACTATCGCGGGAGAGAGCTTGAAACACTGACGTCTGTCATGCCCGTTCCGACATGTACAATGAACCAAGACAAGGTCCTTGGACTATCGTACGCGGGATGGGATTGGTTGTATTCCTCCTACGGCATCATGAGAGTTTTGTTCATTCACAGTCCACTTGCCTTATGACGGCAAGAGTGGACGACGCATTGGATGGCATATTCTCCCCCACTTTGTCTCCATGAAAGTCTGCGAGATGGTGCTCTATGCATAATGGGAAACCTCTTATGCAGTTGCTGACACTGGACCATTGACTGAGGGTGGTGGTGATATATTACACCCTGATATCAACAGAATCAGTGAAGCTTGGCGGTCTGAAGTCAGTCAGATGTTCCCCGCCAAAGTCTAGAAGGTAGGGATCGCCTGCGTAGAGTTAAAGTCGGCTCGGCAAGCGTTTGAGGTGACAATTCGAGCCCGCACCTCCGGTACCAGGGGCCCTTTGTGTTTTCGATCCGTCACTTTAAATATAAGCCTAGACTAGACGAACGCAGCCGCGGGGCATGGATCGAAATAGGCGAGGGACGCCGACGGTCAAGGTGACTGTTGCAATGGAAGGGGGGAACGGCCAAGCAAAATCAAACTGGGGGTTTGGGATGAATGGCAGTTGAAGAGAATGTCCAGAACGGGGCGGGTTTGAAGATCTTCTGTCGCAGTTATCGGACTCGGGATGCCAAGTCGAATTCGTGCCGTGGTGTCTGGGACAGGGGATGGCAGGCTTGATACACTTTGTACGAGATCGACGTCGAGGGGACGGTTTTGGGATGACAAGAGGATGGGGACAGGCCGAACATGGGATGTCCAAGGGGTCGATTGTCAATTGATGTCAAATCTTTAGTCGGTAGATGGATGTGATTATGCGAAAGGCAACATGTGTGAGTGTGAACAATGGAGGAAGCCGTATTGTTGCTTGAGTTGTAGCAATAAAACCTCGTTGAATTGTAAGTGGAACCTATCGACGCCTCGACAGTGGAAGAAATTGGGAACTCGAAACATTCCATTGTCGAACGTTGAAGGAATCAAACCCTTGGCTAGCTCGAAAGTTCCAGTACGACTATTTGACAGACTTTCCTACAGCTGTCGCTGGTTAATAGCGATGGTCGAGCTGGAAGTGACCAGATGAAGATACGAGCACCACGAAACAGGGCCTGTCCTGGATCGGCGGGCCACTTGAGGCATCCCCAGAGCTCAACGTATCCGTTCAAAAGGTGTGATGGTGTGTCCATTTCTTATCCGAGTTGAATTAAACCTGCGCGATGGCTACTTGGTACTCTTTAGCGATGTGTCACTGGGCTGATGTTGCCTCCCGTGGGTCTAAGATGATCTGCTGTTTTGATGCTTCAGGTTGCCGTGAACTGCTACCTCGTGCCTCGATACCAGAACAAATCGAGAGACATGCCGCGTTGGAGGGTGACTTTCGTTATTCTTCAACGCTGAGCACGGGTAGGCAGGCACGGCAGGGCAGTGCTCAGCTTTCAACTGAGGGGGGCTAAGCTCGAAAGAGACTACGTGCCCGTTTTGTCGATTGGGGCGGCGGTGGCGGGCGGTGCGAGGTCTGTGTGATTTGCGAATGGAGTTGAAGAGGGGTGGGAGGCTGGGGGCTCCAGTTTATTCGTTTTAGCCCCGATAGTGGAGAGAGGGACGCCTCAGCGAAAGAGACCATTTGATGGTACTGGAGGGGAGGAGATTAAGGTAGTCGGCTGTCACCGGGGTCTCGATCTGATTGCGCTACAGTAGACATCAGTGTCGCTATTCATAGCATCCAACTGAATCGTCCTCAAGACATCTGTAGAGTATAGGGGAACTCACTTACCATCTGCAGTCAAGAGCTGAGGTGAGGTGTGGTTGTCCATCACGTCCTGACTTACGTCTGCCTCTGGGGCGCATAGCAGTGGCACTCGTCATGTAGATGGTCTTGTGCCTCTGAATCGCAAAAGTATCGCAAACACTGCCGGCGTCGAGGACGAATTGCTTTGGTCTCGTGCTCTGTTTGCATCTTTCATGTCGGGTATCAAACTCAACCTAAGTACATAAACGTAGGTTGTAACAATAAGGTACAAACGAACAATGTAAAGGAAAAGCAAGGCCGTGCGACGAGGGCGTTGCTTCCAGCTGTCGCTTGCCGATTTCAGACATTTCTCTACCTCTCTCGTTCTTTCTATCCCGTCGCCTTTCTCCACCTCGCAGCTTCCTTCCGCCGCGACCCAAGGACCCCGTGTGCTCACCACCTTAGGTTCCTTCCTTCCTTCAGTTCTGCACCTGCGGCCCGGCTTCCATGCCTAATGTACTGCGTACATACCTTACGTACGCTCAGACCACGGCACTGTACCTTCGTAGTCTCGTCCCAAGAAATTCGAGAGTTGAAGAAAAAAAAAATAGCCCGAGACATCCATTCCATTGTCGGTTCCAGCAATATTCCAGATCAAAGTCTCTTCAAGCTCCAATTCCACGCGTCAACGCCGTTAAACGTCCACTATCCTATCTTCAGCCACCTACCTTACCAAAGGTAGATAGGTCCCTGACGTACCACTTTCGCCCGTCTTCGTCGATTTGCTCCAGGTCGTGGTCCCTCACTCGTCCCACGTTAATCCGTTCTCCGTGTGCTCCCCGGTCCATCAACAGCTGCCCAGGTACCCACGCACAAGCGACGCCCATCTTCCATTGTGCAGCACACCACCACTACCACCACCTCAACCACCTCCTCCATCGCCGTCCCGCGCCCATCCGTGTATCCAAGGCCACATTTCATCCGCACGATACCCATCACTTCCCCGTCCGACCGGTCACATTGGATGACCCATCCTCCCACGAACCCATCATCGAGCCTCTCGCATGAATTACCTCCGTTTCACCCCCTGCCTCTCCACCTAAACACATCCCCCAACTCTCCTCGCTCACGGTCACCACCACCGTCGCACCGGGAACTTACCTCTCACCACGGCAAAGCCGCAAATCCGCAAAGCTCGCGCCCTCACTCACCTCACTCCTCCACGCCACGAAACCACGCCTGTCCTGGCTTCTTCCTTGTCCCGTCCCGTCTTCGCAAGCAGCCTGCCGCCACCTGAGCCCGAGCCTTCATCTCGTATTACCTGACTAGACTTGCGCCGCATCGCTCAACTCCCCCCCGACCTCTCAAAATGGCCGACCTCCGCTCCCCATCCGACGACAACCTACCCTCCCACAACGAACAGCGCGACAGAGCAAGCAGCATGTCGCTAGGAAACACAGAAACCGCAGCTCCCTCACAGAATGGGGGAGCCGCAACGGCAAACGGCGGCCCGCCCGCCGGTACCGACACGGGCTCAGCGCCTACTTCTGAGGTCTCGCGCCAGGTCCAGGAAGTGCTATCATCAGACGTAAGGAGGCAGTCTGCTCTCTCTCCGGACCACCCGAATACTGACAATGGCCCAGATTGGTGTCGCAACCATGCTAAACCAGCTCAAGGCGAGTATCGCTTCCGCAAAGGTGAGACCGAAACCCGACCCCATTTCCCGACGAGGATGACAGCTGCTGACGGAGACTCTAGGAATTCGCACTCTTCCTCAAGAAGCGATCACACATCGAAGAAAGCCACGCCTCCTCACTCAAGAAGTTGTCCCGTATAAGCCAGGAAACAATGCACCAGCCCGACCACAGGCAAGGCTCTTTTGCGCAGGCCTACAGCGAAATGATGTACATCCACGAGCGCATGGCCGAAAACGGAACGCAATTCGCCCTCTCACTACAACAGATGCACGACGACCTGCTCGAGCTTGCCGCCGTGGCCGAGCGTAGCAGAAAAGGATGGAAGGCCAACGGCTTGGCGGCGGAACACAGGGTGGCAGAATTGGAGGCCGCGATGCGCAAGTCCAAGGCCAAATACGACAGTTTGGCTGAGGAGTACGACCGCGCGCGCACTGGCGACACCAGCAGGAACAGCGGCAAAATGTTCAGCTTGAAGTCCAAGTCTGGCCCCCAGCATGAGGAGGATCTCTTGCGCAAAGCCCAAGGCGCCGATCAGGATTACCAGGCCAAGGTGCAGACACTGCAGAGTGAGAAGGCCGAATTGATTGCAAGGACGAGACCGGAGGCCATCTCTGCTCTGCAGGACTTGGTCAAGGAGACCGACTCTGGTCTGGCGCTGCAAATGCAGAAGTTTGGTTGGTCAACGCATCGCTTCTTAAAGAACCTGAGCTAACGCAGTCGCAGCCTCCTTCAACGAGAAGCTGCTCTTGAGTAACGGTCTTAGCATCAGCCCCATCAAGGGTCAAGGTTCTGGCGGAGGACCGCGCAGTCTTCGCGAGGCCGTTCTGGCCATTAACAACGAAAAGGACCTTCACGATTACCTGACGTCTCACCACTCGAAGGTTGCCAACAATAACGGCGAGGTCAAATACGAGAAGAACCCGATCTTGGCAACCGCCCGCCAGCAAGCAATGGGCCACCAGCCCAATGCTTCGGTATCAAACGTACCGCAGGCCGCGCCATCCGGATCGTTCTCTGGGCCACCAGGAGGATCAAACCAGCAACAGCAACGAGATATGCCACCTCCTGCTAGACCCAGCAATTTCCAACCGCCAGCCGACTCTCCCCAAAGCTTTGCGCTGCCTAATATGCCGGCTGCTCAACAGCCAAGGCCATCGTCTCAGCAGCAGCACCCTTCTCCTCAGGCGCAGCAGCACGGCCGTAGCTTCAGTACTAACAACATGCTGAACCAGCCCAGCCAACAGCAGCAATTCCAGTCGAACCGCAACTCTGGTGTCGTAGCGCCAACGTACAATAGTGGTGGCATGTCCTCTCAAGGACCGCCACAGCTAGGAGCATTGCCATTTCAGACATCACCGTCGCCTCCGCCGCCGCAGCAGCAGCCCCAGCAACGAGCGCCGCCGCCACAAAGCCAGTACCAGCCTCCTCAGCAGCACCAGGCTCCACCGGCACAACAGTATCCTCCTCAAGGACCACCACCAGGTGCAGGAGGATACCCTCAACAGAACAGACAATCCCCTCCTCTCGGCGGTCCTTCCGGGCCGTCGCCCAATGCCGCGAGGCCCACATTCGGGCTAAGCCTGCCTCGCTTGTATGAGCGAGACGGTTTGCCTGTGCCCATGGTCGTCTATCAGTGTATCCAGGCAGTGGACCTCTACGGACTTGGCGTCGAGGGCATCTACCGGCAGTCCGGCTCATTGACGCATATCAACAAGCTCAAGACCATGTTCGACACCGACTCGAGCAACCCAGCGTTGGATTTCAGAAATCCCGAGAACTTTTACCATGACGTCAATAGTGTTACTGGCCTGTTGAAGCAGTTCTTGCGTGATCTCCCCAACCCCCTTCTCACTACAGAGCATCACAGCGAGTTGATCGAGGCAGCCAGTACGTTGTCCTTTCTTGATTGATTTTGACTATCACTAACCCTTCACAGAACAAGAAGATGACATCGTTCGCCGAGACTCCCTCCACGCCATCATCAACAGCCTCCCCGATCCCAACTACGCCACTCTGCGCTCGCTGACCCTCCACCTCCACCGCGTCATGGAGAACTCCCATGTCAACCGGATGAACTCCCACAACCTTTCCGTCATCTTTGGCCCCACGGTCATGGGCACCGATCCGGCAACAAGCATCGCCGACGCCGGATGGCAGATCAAGGTTGTCGATACAATTCTGCAAAACACCTACGAGATCTTTGACGACGAATGAATGCGGCATGGCTTGCACTCGTTCTAGCGTCCCTGTTTCAAGTCCTCAAAAATTCGCAAGTCTCCTAATCTAGGTTAGATTGGGCCAAAACGTACATACAATCGCCCATGTATTCAGGCGAGGAATTATCCGCCGGCAACAGGTCTTTCAAGATCGGTTCAAAGGCATGGATGTTCACAAAATGGTCTGGATTCAACGGGTTTCGGCAGAGCGTAAGGGGTGGCGTTTGGGGGTTCAGAACTCCATCCTTTTTCTTTTCAAATTTCAGGGATACCAGGGTCCTGTAGCACATCACAGCACAGCGTCGCGTTCAGCGTCCTCTTTTGATTTCTCTTCTTCTCTTTGCAGCTCTCTCCTTCCTTCCTCATGTGGTCCTTTTGTCGGACGACTGCCGGGGCGGCCTGGGAAACATCGAATGGAAGGGTGCCGTAGGATTATGTAGCAACCTGGATGAAGGGGATGAGCGGAAAATATGAGCATTCAATTCGTTCATGTGATGTTTTGCATTGTGCCTTTGCGTGAATGTTGGCATATATTTTAGAAAGGCCATGATGTGGTGTACATGTGTCTATCGTTGTGATTGTGATTACAAGGTTGCCTCGTTCTCGCCCACGACTCGAGGGCACGGCTGACTTGTGTCACATTGGTGGGCTAAGGAATGAATGCTCGAGAGGGCCGCGGAAGGTGTTTCTGGTGCGTAGAAGGCAGCTCCGTTCGGCTATCATGACTCAGATACTCATCTCTCAGTAGTAACGCGCTCGTTTTGTATCGTCGTGTATCACGCTCGTATTCGTTCCCTTTGGAATACAGGATAATGACCCCTACAACGTAAGGCTGTTTTATAACTCTTTTAACCCGCACTCTGCTAAGTTAGTGCGTTCACGGTAAAGGTCGGAAGTATCCCTAAGCCAAGAGCGAGCCCGCTCCCTTCTCTAAGTCAAGGAGGAGCTGTAAGCAGAAAGAGTCTTCATCGCATCATGAATGGGAGAGATGACGGCAGCGGGCAGCGGGCAGCGGGCAACGGGTCTCTCGGTCCATCGAAGGAGCGAAGTTAACTACACCAGACTTGGAACTAATAAAGCATGCTCATCATTCTCGTATTCCTGCCTCGGTGCTTTATGCTAAAATATATAAGGTGCCGCGTTCTAATACTCGTGAGAGGTCATCACAAATCACATCGAAGAAGTGATCACAGTAGAAGCAGTCGAGCTTTGAATGGTCGAGGGAGACGAGCTGCCTTTTACAATTTTGGAGTCGATGCGATAGGACCTAGGGACAGAGTAAGGTAGACATTTTTAAAGACCACGGTCATTTATCCTCATTTATCGTCCTGCCGTTCGGGGTGACGAATACGTTAGGGAAGCGGGATCTAGAAAAGAGAACGTGGCTGTGATAGGCTTTAGGTCTTTTTATTAGTAAGGGGATTAGGGGGTTACTAAAAGGGTTAGAGAGAGAGAGAGAGAGAGAGAGAAATAAGAAAGGAACTTAGGAGTCTTTTGAATTTCTCTCTATTATTATAGCGGACAAGTACGATCGCTTAGTTTGTTCTAGGCTTGCCAGAGCGCGTCTTATATGGATCTATGTGATTGATCTACATAGGCTTGTGAGGAATCTCTTGTTTGCTCTGATATAAAATGCCGTAGACACCACCGAGAATATCTTTCTATCCATACGAAGCAAGAAGTAATGGTTAAGTGACGAGGCTCTTACAAGGACAGAGATCTCATATGACATTTCATTCATTCGGTATCATAATCTAATCCCACTAGACAGCACCACGGGCTCAGAGCATACTTTGCCCTCCGAACCGAAACCCTGAGCTTCGAGCATAGATTGGATGGATGAGCCGACCTCTCCCATTTGGACCTGATGGGATCACTCGTGTGTAAAAGACAAGGGAGGTAAAAATAGTAGAGACCGTAAAACTCCATATCCACTTTGGGGGGACATTCTTTATGTGCCACGAAATGGAATCTCAAGCTGAAGCTGGGCAGGTGACCCCCCTTGGTGCTCAATCTTCTACCTGATCTCTTGAAGTACCGCAGCCTTTCATCAAGTCCTCCTCTAGCTTGATAAGGGCCATGACGCCTTGGTCCCTTTATCTTTTCCCAAAACAGGCCCTGTTTTAGCCACTGGGGTTCCTGATCCCGTTGGCATGAGGCAAACTATGGCTGAAGACACAGCCCACGCAGTGCTTTGCGGACGTTGGGGCACTCATCTGGCTGCTCCAGCTAGGAAACCCACATTTGGCCTCGCATCTTGCTAATCAGCAAAGGCGCATAAGAAGCGGTTGGTGCGAGCACCCCAGTCAAGAGACGGCAGGGAATTTCTTGGTGTCACGGAAGTTCCGGTCTCTCCTTAGTGATCTCGGAGGTAGTGGTTCTAGGACTTACTGCCGGGTCTAGACACACTAGCATAAGACGTGAACACGAGCTAGATAAAGAGCGTAATGGGGGTTTGGTCCTTTCTTACTTTCCTTTGATGTCTCTTAAGGTAGATGTAAACACATGTGATCTGGGTGGTACCAACATGCATACTGTCAGCCTAGGCGCTCAGGAAGTCGCAGGTCGATGAGCATTATCACGAGCCTACTTGGCACCCTGACTGTCTTTATACCAACCGCGCCCCCCTCCCACCTGGCTTCATGGCCCTTTAGCGAATTTCTGCCAAAGACCAATTGCCTGATTGTGTCCGTACTCCCGACTTGAAAGGAGGAAAGACATCCAAGGCCAAACAGGACCGAACGAGGTACTGGGTTCGTCGACCCTTTCTAGATACACAGGATCTTGTAACTCCCTGGGTTCTTCCGACTGAATGAACGGTGTGATTGAGGCTAGAGGCTCGTTGGCAGATTTCCGCCAGGCACGCTCACTCGTATGGCCATGGGATAAGGCCATCGAGTAAACGAATTCAGACATTCCAGGTTTGATACAATACACGCCTCAAAGAGTCAGGTCAGACAGGTTCTACAGAGACGTATCCGATACTGTAGCCTAGGACTTTTGCTTGAGAGGATGCGTGGAACTAGACCCGTCCACAAGCTTGGTCATGCGAGGTTCGACCCCAAGGGTCAGGGCAGGATGCCATTTACCTGTTAGCTAGCGCTAGAAGTCATGAGGCAGTCACGACACTCTACGAAATCATTTGGTGCATCTGCAGTGATCTGGCGCGAGGCATGACAATCTATCTCATTATAATTTACGGAGTAAAGATGTTGAGGGATGCCTCGGGCTCCAAAAATTGATGACTAAGCATCTGAGATTGAGGATCGCGATATCAAAACACCAGAAAGCATCACCAAGGCACTTAGAAACCATCATCAAAACGATCACTCCAAATGGCAAAAGAGTTCACCCCCCCGGTGCCGATTTGGGGGCTACATCTCTTGGTGCTCATGCTGGGACTCGAACTCGATCGCTAAGCCTGTCGTCGAGTAGGCTGGTTGGCGTGAATAATTGGTGACCATTAACCATTCCACCACCCACGCCACAGTTTGACCTGACCCCCGACCTAGGGGGCGCCTGCTGTGCTGGTGACAGGAATGGAGTTGGAGGGGCCTATATGGGGTGGCAGCCTTGTCACCTGGCCATCAAGGTGCTTTTTTCCTGACCTGAGCTGGAGAGGCCGCGCATCTTCTTCATGCCATCGCACGCAGCGGATGGACACAATGAAAATGTAAAGGTGTGAAAATCAAAAATTGCCACAGCGATGGCCCCGAAGGACAATCGAGAGAGGTCTACTCCGCGATGTGCAATGCAGGCATCCCTCTCTGCGGTCCGGATTTCTTGATCCCCAGACCGCCCATGAAGGTAAGTATGAAGAAAAGAAGAAGGGAAAACAAGCAAAGGGGAGGAGGAGGTCGGCCTTATATAGGCATTCACATGGGGACCTTGCGGGCTGAGGCCACCATTTCGCTTCCGTGCAAGGGTGGAGCTTTGGGGATAGGCCAATGAAAGAGCACAGACGAAGGAGCTGCCTGCCGTAGCGGAGATGAGTCCGGATCAATTCCGGAGCTTTCCAGCAACCGAGCACTCAACGCATGCTTCAGCATTTTGCTTAGGTAGGTGGAACATGAGGTGCAATGAACTTCTCATTGCTTCTCTCATTATTGATGCCGCATGGCTGAGAAGAGATAGGCTCCGTGGTCAGAAACTACCTCCGTGTTTTGTTCGGAAAAGACAAAGCATTTTCGATCTTCAGGATGATGGGCGATGCATGAGATGGGACATGATGAAGGTGCTTCATCCCTTGCATTTTCTTCTACGTCCTAACTTCATAGAGGCACAAAAGAATCCATCCTATGCCTGCAAATAGGCCGTTCATCTGATTTCGGGCACCTCTCATTCAGCCTTTCAAAACCCGGGGTGTCAGATGGACATCCAAGCCGCCCTTCTCCCATAGAATGTAGACCTTTGTCTCAGCGTACCAGTTCGCTGTCTCCGCTGCTGGGCGGATATCGAAGTTCCAGATCAGTCTCGCGAGGATCAACCTCATCTCGGCATAGGCAAGACTAGATGATCACCTGTCAGCGGGGATCCCCAACGGTGCCGACTCCATCGTCTGAGCCATGGAGAACGTCTTGAGGGCTGCTCACTTCTTCCCAATGCAGTTGCGAGGACCGATGGAAAACGGTTGCAGAGCCTGCTTGGCATCATTTGCAAACCGCGGGTCCCCCAAGAATCGCTCCGGGATGAACTCCTCCGTCATTGCGAAGTGGTCGGGGTTATGGTAGACTGACCAATGCCAGGTATCCACTACAGTCTAGAACGCACGATTCTCAAAGTCAGCGCGCACATAGCCCCCCATAACACCATGAATAAGACACCGCGGGGAAGTAACTTACACCTTGCGGAATAAATTCGCCGAGAATCGTATCGCCCCCTTCGCCAATGGCTCGCGGGCTGGGACCAGGTACCGGCGGGAACATCCGCAAGCTCTCGTCCAAGACGGCCAGGAGGTACGGCAGGTTTTGCACGCTGAGCATATCGATCTCGTCCTCCGTCGTGAATGCCGATCGGACCTCGTCGTTGAGCTTGGCTAACACGTGTGGGTTGGTTGCGAGGAAGTACGTTGCCGCCGTCAGCAGCGTGGCTGTCGTTTCCGACCCGGCGATGATGAGAACCATGGCGTTGGAGGTCATCTCTTCGAACGACATGGCCTGGATTGATATGTTGGCAACCAGCTTACAGCACCTGGCAGAAGATCGACCTCTTCTGGGATATTCTGACTAAAGTGGCGGCACTCACCTGTCCTGCTGATTCTGACTTCCTGATCATTGCATCCACGAAATCAGGCCGGCTCTTCCCAAGCTCCAGCCTCTTCCGCAACTTCTCCCTCGATAGCTCCCGGTTCTGAGCATACTTACCCATTAGCTCCCTAGGAAGCGTCAACATGAGAAGCGGCTTCAGCCACGGCAGACGCCGGAAACTCGTCAACATGGCCATGTTCTTGATACTCTTAAAGATGAGGTCGACCCAAGGGTGATACGTGCTATCCTCAAGACACCCAAAGGGTTCTCCAAACGCCAAGTCGCCAATAACGTCAAACGTGGTAAAGTTGAACCACTTCTCCACGTCCACCGTCTGCTCGCCACCCCGCGATGCCTCCCGCAGCTTCTCAAAGAGGGTATCGACGTACCCCTTGATAATAGGCTGCTGCGCGAGCATAGACTGCGCCGAGAACCCGTGCGCCAGCGCCCTGCGGAAGCGGCTGTGGTCCCCGCGGTCGGCGCCGATGATGTTGTCGCGGTTCGGCAGGGCGTTGACGGGGTCTTTGCCGTTCTCTCCGGTGAAGCTCTTGCGGTGGCCTCGGATCTCTGCCATGCCGTCCGGGTGGTTGACGGAGAGGTGGTTGGGGCCTACCCGGACGATGGGGCCGTACTTTTGATGGAGTTGGAGGATCGTGAGGTGACAGGTGCCGGCGATGAATTCGCGGACGTAGGGGATGGAGGAGATTGACCATAATTTTGGACCGGGGAATTTGCGCAGTGGGTTGAGGTAGAGCTGGTAGATGGCGTATCCTATGAGGTATGCGAGGAGCTGTGTGAGGGGTGAGTATTCGGTCTGCCTGAATGTGCTTATGGGGATTCATAACAGGATAGAAAGGTCTGGCTTACAGTACAGAGCGCCGCGATTGGCATGATCAGCATCAAAGACCACCGGGCCTCGTCGAGGCTGAAGGATTGCAACATATCGTTTCCTTGATCTGAAGAGGGGCTTGGGTGTCAGTAGTTGATGTCCAGTAGCGTCCCGAGATCGATCAAGCAGGCTCTTTATAAAAAAGAACCCTTTACTCTTTTGCGCTTCCATTCAAATGTGATATCACTACACACACCCTTTTCACGTCTCCTCGAAGCCGTTTCATCGGCTTTCACTCGCCCGCATCCCTGATTCCGTCCCAATTACCAAGCGAACCCCTCTTATTCGTCACAGAACACACAAGGTCCTTAGCTCCATGTAACCGTAAACCCGCTGCACTGATTCAAGATCTCCCAAATTTCAAACTCGATAACGTTGATCGCCCGGCCGTGATTCTCCCTCCCCCAGACTTTGACCAAAATTGCGGTGCCCGAACTCCGCCAGCTCCATGCAGGAGCGGACTACTCCGTTGCGGAACGTGCTTTCGGGCGGCCGTTTTATGAGCTCCGGGGCCGAAAAGATTGGCCCGTCTTCTCATTGACGACGTTCGTCTCTTCTTCGGTCCCATTCATGTCAGAAAACTACGCAAGTGGTCACTTGTGATTGGGTTGGTCTCCGAAAGAAGCCTCGAATTCAATCGTCTTGCGTATCCCGTATCCCGGTAAACCTTGAAGACACTTTCGGGTTGTTAGGGCGTAGAGCGACACATCATTGAATTAACTCAGCATCTTTCGAAGCTTTGTACTCGGCGTTAGGGCGATTCCAGTCCCCATTCCGATATCGTCTCAAGCATATTGCGAGGGCGAATGAGCGTTCCATCCACTGCCTAGTATTCCGGGCTCACACATAGGCTTCATGAACACGACTCAGACTGAGTTGTAGGCTGTTGGTGAGGTTTTGGTATAATACTTGTGTGAACATGACAGAATTCGCTGTGAAAAGATGTCGCTGCCGTTTTGTAAATGAAGGTTTCGCCAGGTGAAAGGCTTATACCAACCAACATAAGTGTGTCTGGATGTGTGCTGGTGATGCGTGCCAAACCAGGATTAGGCTGGATGAACTTTATTCGTCCTGGCTCGACGAAGTCCAACAATCACACCAACTAGCTTGGATTCCTGGCCCGCTGAGCATGAAAGAGATTAATCAATCATTTCTGCGCATGTCAAGATAAAAAGGAATTAGATATTCGTTTTTTTGGCAAAAGGAAAGGACCGACCGCGGTTCGAACGCGGGGCCTAGAGATAACTGCGTGGAACTGCAATCTCTCGCTCTACCACTGAGCTATCGATCCTACTCAGATGGTGACAAAAACTAGGACTCCGCGCGCATAACAACCCAGCAGTCTCCGCCGCTCTTACATCTCGTTCGGAGCCTCCATTCAGGTCACAGCTTTCCTTTTGAGAGGCATCCCTAGTTTGATCAATTTGTTGGTCTTGGAAGGCGCCAGATGAGCCGAGTACTTCAGATGATCTCTAGTTGAAGGTGCTCTGCCATCGATGTTGTGCAAAGTCCACCTCATGATGCCACATGAAGATGGAGAGGCGAGGAATATGTGTTAATCTGGACTTGTGCTTTCATCCAAACAACAGTGGTGATTGTCGAAGTTGATGTTGATCTTACTTGAGGTGATAATGGGGCACTGTGTCTCATCCCTTCTTTTTTTGGTGCCCAATGTTGACTTTGCAATTTGATCTTCAGCGCCCAAGAGATTATCATAGTTTACCTATAGCAAGAGCTGAGCACTTGTGACTACAGTAGTGAGAGCAGGTATATTCTGACAAGCTCTTGGCGACTTTGATGGTTGAAGCAACGAAGCTTACACTATCCGTACGGCATACGCACAAGGCCTCGCCAGTCTATCAGTGACTCACTACTCATTGTGTGGATGCCCCCATTAGAGAAAGCCAGAGCGAGGTAAATGAAGCTGGCGAAGCACGCTATCAATCTCACAGTCTCTCGTCCAGACTCCATGCTCTATGATACTCCAAATCTAACTATTAGGTAAACAACGACCACAAGAGTCACAAACACAAACGGGGAGGTACGAATGCACCTCCAAAGCGGGGTCATAGCAGCTTGCGTTTCCCCAATCTCTCCCAGTGAACCCTGAACATCTACAACTGAGCCAGCCGGGTAGCGGCGGCCTCCGGTAGATGTTAGCGTTGCAGCGCACCCCTGGCACTGGTGCATTCCGCCTGCGACAGGTGCAGCTCTCCCCCGAATCTGGACCACCCGACCACACGGGGCCCTGCACCTTAGACTCCTCAGTTGGGGAAAAGTGGACCCGACGAGCTCCATGGGGCGGTGGAATTCAACATCACTTCGTTACGCACCACGGAGGCTCTGACTACATTCCTTCTTACAACCTTTCTCCTTCTGCTCCTCGATACTGCTTCAACCTTCTTCCTCATACACAACTTGTAAAGCTTCACTTCGTCATTGGGAGTCGCGTAATCTCATAGATTTGATACCAGACAGGAAGATAGCGACACGAATCGGGTACCCCTCCAAGAGCCGTTACCCCTCCCCACCCCGCCATCTTCAACCTCACTCTCACTAAACCCTGACCTCGAATCCGAAGGTAGCCCATCATGACGACAAGATACAGAGTAGAGTGTAAGCAAATCAAAATGCCAGCTCTCCATTGAGATAACTTCACCAACTAACGCTCGTACAGATGCTCTCAAGACCCACAGACGAGACCAGTTCATAGGTACGGCAGCATCCGCCAAGCTCATCGAGTCTCGTGACGAGTGTCTAGAGACTCACCTCGAAACTGCGACACAACGGCTCTCTTACTCAATTGACAGCTGGAGGAGAGAAGATCGTCAAGAATCTAGCCAGCAGCGAAGTCGCTGTCCCATTGTCTCCCCAGCTTATCATCGTCAGCCACCTTACGATCACCGCAATGTCCAATGCCTCACGATCAAGCTGTCTCTTAGCCGGCAACTAGCTAACCCTCACCTCCAGAATGGATTAAAGGTCTCCTGGCAGTCCCCTTTGTCCTCTACTCCCAGCCCACCGGCGTCTTCGACACGAGAGCGACGAGCATAGCCCGCATGGCAGAGGAATCCCACCGCCGCTACGCCGAAATCTTTCGCGACGTCGAGCACATGATAGACGACCACAGTAAGCTTCCTCCAGTCTCATCTCGCTAAATTTAGCTCATTCACTTCTCTCCCCTTTGAATCGAGTTGCCAAAATTAACACATCCACAGTAACCCGTCAAGACGAAGACCTCCCCTCAAAACTGAAAATGCTCGTCCCCTCAGCAGGGCCCTTCTTCACCCGCCTCCCCCTCGAGGCAGCCTTCACCCTCATGGACGCAAAACGCCTCATCTCCTCCCGCCGCTACGTCTCCCCCTCCTTCAACGACGTCCGCCTCATCCTCAACGCCGCCCAAATCCTCGCCGTCACCAGTCCCAGCCCCAGTCCAAACCCATCCACCACCACCACCGCCACCTCCCTCCAACTCGCAACCTTTGACGGAGACGTAACCCTCTACGACGACGGCGAATCCCTCCTTCCCACCTCCCCCCTCATCCCCCGCCTCCTCTCCCTCCTCCGCCGCGACATCAAAATCGGCATCGTCACAGCAGCAGGCTACACAACAGCAGACCGCTACTACGACCGCCTCCACGGCCTCCTCGACGCCATCGCCGCCGCGCCCGACCTATCCCCGATCCAAAAGGCCTCCATCGTCATCATGGGCGGCGAAGCAAACTACCTCTTCGAATACGACCCGTCCTCCCCGCACCTCTTGGCCCCCGTCCCGCAGGAGCAGTGGCTCACGCCCGAGATGGCATCCTGGTCCGACGCCGACATCTCCGCGCTCCTCGACGTCGCCGAGGGCGCCCTGCTCGAGTGCATCCGCACCCTCAACCTCCCCGCCACCCTCCTCCGCAAAGACCGCGCCGTCGGCATCGTCGCAACCGACCCGGCCGTCCGCATCCCGCGCGAGTCCCTCGAGGAAACCGTCCTCGTCGTCCAGAAAATCCTCGAGCTCTCCGCGCTGGGCTCACCCGCCCAAGCAGCCGGCCACAGCACAATCGCGCCCTCTGCCCCTGCCTCTTCCACTGAACCAACTGCTGTCCGCCGCCGCGTCCCCTTCTGCGCCTTCAACGGCGGCCGCGACGTCTTCGTCGACATTGGCGACAAGTCGTGGGGCGTGACCGTCTGCCAGCGCTGGTTCGCCGCCAAGGCGGGACACCCAGAGACCCCCATCGCCGGCGAGAAGACGCTGCACATTGGCGACCAGTTCCTCAGCGCCGGCAGCAACGACTTCAAAGCCCGGAGCGTGGGTACCACTGCGTGGATCGCGAGTCCCGGGGAGACGGGCGAGCTTTTGGATGATTTGATCGCGAGGATTTGAAGAGAAAAAGAGCGAGACACGGAAAAAGAAGAAAGAGAGAGAGAGAGAGATAGAGGGAGAGAGAGAGAGAGAGAGGGTAACAGAGGAGGCATGGTAATGATTTACCTCGGGCAACGTTCTCCTCCCTCCCTTCTCCGGCTGCGTGACACCAGCCACCGATAACCCGATCCCCCACGAGACCTTGAGGCCATGCAAACGACGTCGAAAGAATAGCTTTGTCAGTCTCCAAGTAGTATTCGTCAAGGACAGGGAAAGGGCCGGAAGGGAGAGAGGACACGGGGCTGTCGATGTAGAAGACGACCAGACGAGTTTCAGTAGCAGGTTCATCAGCAAGGCTTAACTCCGAAAGGGGAATTGCTGGCCTGCTGCTATAGAGAACGGGGGAAGGGAAAGGGATAAGGGGGGGGGGGGGGGGACATGCATATTATGAGCTACATCAACATCAATTTTAATACCATTATTTTGACATTCAAGATTGAATCATTTGGCTTCTTACACACGAACTCACTCCCTGTGACAATTTAATCACACCAGCTTGCAATCACAGGCATGAGAATGTGAACAATGTATGCGTTGACAAATGACGGTCAATGACCGTGGTAGCAATGTTTATTCTTGTTCGGCTATGCCTATACATCGCTTTTTGCAACCAACCTCCAGACATCACGCACCGGCCGTCTATCTAGTTGTTGCATTGCCAATGTGCTGATGGATCAGCCTAGGAACAAAGTTCCATATGCCTCCCTTCCACGACGTCTGTCGCGTCGATTCGTCCTTGCTGCCACTTCTTCCCCTACCTAGGCGTCTGCGCCTCCATTGACACCGTATCCATTGGAAAAAAAAAAACCAAGCCAATTCGTGAGAAGGAATTCCAATCCTCCGGGGGGTATTGTGCATTTTTGTGTAAACACCGTGAAATCCGTGCCATGAGAAAAATCGAGTGATGCTGCTCCGTGGAGCACTGAGGGAACCCTTCCAGTCATCCTGTCTATCGCCGGGGAATTGAAAAGCAAGCCGCCCACCGTGTGGGAATATACATAGGAAAAGAGGTGAAAGGGGCTGGTCTATTGTGAAAAGCCAAAGCCAAGTGAGTGTAGAAGGTCCACAACTTTGTACAGAGAGGCGGATCGTATGTGCTGAATGGGATCGGAAATTATGAAAAGTCTATGCGCGGGTTTCGGCTGTAGTGATGAGGAGAACTGGCTCCTGCGAAAAAGAGCAGTGTTGACTTGGTTCTGCGACGTTTAGAACATAGCGCCCAACGGAGCTCCAAAGTTGGTGCTCTGCTTGAGCTTGAGGGGAATGTCAATTTCCTCGAGCTTGCTCTGCGACTCGGAGACGTCGTCTCTATCCGAGGAAGAAGCTCTGTCGCTGGTCGAACCCTTGTCGCTGGCGGCATCTGTGTCCGCCTTCGCTACGTAGAGATTCTCTTTCGCCTCCAAAGGCTCTCCGACGAGTTCCGGAGTTGGCGCCTTCATGCAAGTGGGAACGGCGTCGGCGCCGCTGCTCACGTCTTCAAGTTTTTCGGACAAACGCTTGAAGAAGATTTCGTCATGAGCAGGGATGTTGCGAACCATCAAGGGGCCCTTCAGGGCAACGTCGTCTGCCGCCTCCAACGTGGGGAGGGGCTCATCGGTACCGCGATAAGCGTCATCCTGAAGATCGGATGAGTCTGCTCTAGCCCTGACATCATACAGCGTTGCCGGGTTCGAGCTCATGTCTGTCGGTGCCAAAGTCGGTGTAGAGCCTCCACTACCGTCAGCGACTGTCGGAACTTCTGTGCCAGGAGCTGTTCCCAGAACGGAGAGGGAATGGCTGGGCGTGTGGCCAGCGTGCATGACGAGCCTAGCAGGCTCGGGAGCGGCGAGCACCTCGAGGGTGTGTTCCTGAGTAGGGCTTCGCCTAGACTTGCCGGACTCTCCAGGCGGAGAGACGGCTCTGGAGGAGTTCTTTGAGTTTTCCGGAGTCATGCCGGAGTCGATGAATGTGCTCTTTTGAATAGCGGGTGCCTTGAGGGGGACGCCCTCAAGCTGAGGGTTGATAATTTGAATGTCGACAATGGGGACAGGCTCCTCGTCCTTGGGAGAGCCGAGGAAGTCGACGGGATCTGCGGTAGTGGGCTGCATGTTGGGATTGAGTGGGATGAATGGCGAAGACTCTGGTTGCCTGGAAGGAGAAATCCGGGAACTACCAGGACTAATAAAGTGAGATCGGATCTGGGCTGGCGAGACGGAGGCTGAGGAAGAGCCATTAGTCGGCCTCCGCTGTGCAGTGCCGTTCGAGAGGCCGAACCGCGCGTCATTGGGTTGCGAGGAGAATCCTGGGAAAGAAAGTTCAGTGGAGCTGTCGGCCCCACCTCGCGTTCCTGTTCCTGGAATTGCAACAGTGACGCCGGCGACTTTGCCCGCCTTCTCTAGCTCGGCTCTTTGCAACGCACCTTGCAGCCGAATCTTGTCATTGTCGATCGCTGCAACTTGCTCTTTGAGGCGGCGGATCTGCTCCGTCAGGTCGTTCTTTTCGGCTTCCCATGCAAGACGTTCGTCTTCCATAATCATCCGCTCCTCCTTGTACACTTCCTCGACACGTTCGCGGTTGGCTTCCATGTACTTGCGCTCGGCTTCCCAGGCCTCCCGAATCCGCGCATTCTGCTGAGCGAGGCGTCTAATTATCTGTGCTGACGGAGGAGCCGAGGCTGCATCGGCAGATACTGATCGTGGGTGAGGCATTCCGTTTGGGGAGACTCTGGCCGTCGACGAAAACGCAGAGGGGTTGTGGCCGTTCAATTGTTCGAAATGACTCGGCGAGACGACTCGTGGTACTTGGTCGTTCGAAATCGTCTCTCTGTAGCCGTTTGTGCCGTTGACGCCGTTGGGGTGTAAATGGGGTGAAAGAAGGCTTTGCGTTTGCGGCGGATAGCGCACAGCGCCGGATGATTGGGGAGAGTAAATGGAGTTGCCCGTGGCGCTCGTCGTCGTCGTCGTCGATCTATTGTCGAAATAACAGGAGCTCGCCATTCGATTGAGTGACAGCGGAGAGATGACGGCAGAGGGCGGCATATTGGGATCGTGGTCGGTAAAGGCCGATGGCAGAAAAGAGTCGGAGGCGAACATGATTAAGACTCTTGAGAAAGAAGGAGGCAGCTGGGGTTTGAGACCCAGGCAAGGAGCATCGACACCGGTGGTGGGATGGATGTCTTGGGGGGGCTTGCCGGCAGGGAGTGAGCGATGCGCAGTTGCAGCGTGCGTGCAGGAGGGATGACGCAAAAGCTGTTGGATGGCTTATTAGCGCAATTGCTCTCTCTCAGGGCGAGCGCCTCTTTGTGCCTTGGTCTTGGGGATACCTCGGTCGTGGGAACTTCTTGGGGTATGGTGAATTCCACAGCGAGGTATGCCAAAGAGTGAAGCCGAATTGGAATTTACCTAGCAATCGATTCGTCGGAAATCCGCCCTGGGGAGAATGTCGAAATGTAAAGATTCGCGCAAAGGTTGTGGTCTGGTAATTTGGTTTGGTGGCGTAGAGTCGTCCGTTCCTTGGGTGAATCAGGTATGCTCCACTGGTGCGGATGTTGTATGCGTAGGTGAGTGTGTAGTTGTGTATGTGTGTTTACTTGTACGGTACTCCGTACTGGTTCAATAGCGTCCAGCTCTGTGTCGAGGGAGAGACGAGACTTGGTGGTGAGTCGAAGTCGCGATCCAGGTCACGGCATGACTAGCCCGACGCATGAAAGTTGTTTCCTTGTTGGGAGCTTTTTGAGTCGCGAGGGAGAGGATAGAAGACGGAGAACGGGAGAAATGACGGCGGCGATGGGGTGGTTATTGTAAAATGGGATGAGTCGTCTCCTATGGATGTGTGGACTTCGTACCTCAGGTGCACCACTGCGGAGAGGCAGACCTAACGGAGACGCAGTGAGGACGGGGAGCAAGAGGTGACCAGGGCGACGAAAAAGGGAAACTTGGGGCAAGCGCTACAAGGTGAGGTACTTGATGGTCAGCCGGACAGATGTGAATTTCGGAGGTAGTCTAGTAACGGGTGGGCAAGGTACCCATACCAACCAGTGACCGATTTCAGAGCGGGTTTTTGGGTGGATGTGCCGGTGAGGTGAGAGTATTCGGTACCTTACCGCACCGTATTACGGGTACAAATACTGAGGTGCGGTCTGTGACTCTGTTGTACCTAATTATTACGGTGAGGTATCCGTAGGGAACCCAAGGTGCTTTTGGTACAGAGGTTGGGCTGGACTGCCTGCCTTGGGTACTACCGAGTACGTAGTTGTAGGTGAGAGGTGCGCAAGTGTGGAACTGTGGATTTTGGCGACTGGGGGCAGCAGGGTAATAATGGGGAAATTCAGCAATTCAATTGCTTCGGTAGGGCGGCGCCAGCGGTAACTCCCATGCTCGATCCGCCTTTTATTCTCTCCGTCTCCAATGTCTGTCGCTCTCGTGACACGCGATCAGCCGGGGGAGAAGGGGTTGTCGGGTGTCTGTGTGCGTGTGTGTGGGTATTCGCACGAAGAAGCGTGGAAGCATAGGCGGGCAGCAAGCAGATCAAGGGCCCGGGTTGGTTTGGGGGCGGAAGAAGAGGAGAAAGCAGATGGGAATGGACGAGTTCGGACTGCGTCTGGCGTTCCCTCGAGCCTTCGGATGCTTGTTCTTGAGTGGCTGTCCGTCCTTGAGCTTGAAGAATACCAATGAAAGATCTCCCTGAGTGAGAGTCGTGAGGGAGGCGGGATGTGCAGCCGTCGCCAAACGGAAGTGATTGCCTCGAAGCCGAATGCCCCTGTTCCTGCAACCTGCGCCTGTTCCTTTTCAGCTGGACCCTGAAGCCTCAAGAGACCCGATGCGGGATAGAGAGAGAGAGCTGTGGTGCTGAATTTGTCCGTCGGCACAGCAGGCGAGATTTGACAGCTCAGAGTGCAGGAGGACGAATGACCATCTGACAGGGGAACGGGACAGCAAAGGGACGGGATGCAGGCAAAGTTGGGGGAAAGCGCGCCAACGCGG